GAACATGTTGGCCGGGTGTAATCCTGCCGATCCGGCGGCAGCATTGAACATCGTCACTTGTGGCTTATTGCTCAGGTGAAGCGAACTGGAGAAGTCAGGGGCGCGCGGATTCAATCTTGACATACTAACGGTGGTGTTGATCACGGAGGCGGATGGCGCGATAGTCTGAGCGAAACTCTGCATGTGAGGATGAAACGGTAGCAGAGAATGACCGGCGCTACTCTGACTATCGTTCGGCATCATTTTCAACAGGCTGGAGTTGACGTTCGGATGCTCGTAATTGCCGCTGCTGCTGTTCGCTGCCTTGAACAGACTGACGTCCAGTGTCGGCTGTGATGTAGATGGTATCACGTGTGCTGCCGGTTGATGGGTCGTCGCGTTCCGTGTTGTCAGATCACCCTGAAAAACCGCTGGCCTATTGAACTGTGCCGCCATGCCCGTTCCCATATCAATGTTCTGTTGGGGTATTACTGGTCTAGCCACCGCTAGACTACCGGGCGGCTTGTTCGGTAGTGGATGCTCGCTGTAACTCGTCGAAGACTGAAACTGCGCGGGCTGCATAGGATTGTTGTGCACGGAACATGATACCACGCTGCCAATCACGTTGGTCGATGTATTGCTTGTGTTACCCGGCTTGCTGGATACCGGGGAACACATTGCTGTACCACGGTACCCCGGAGCTTTGGACGCGTCTACCTGTGTTCGACAAAATTTAAAATGTTCACATATTAGTCCCACTAATTCACAGACACGACGCAATATTCAAATATTCGCGAGAAATCTGTGAAATTGAATCTTTGAAATTTTTAATTGAATTGATTTTAATCGAACCGATATTATTTATATGGTGCTAAATATTCATTAAAATACTGTTGTAATTATAAAATAATAATTTTTCTATTACATGCGTCACTTAAATGCACATTCTCTCTTTGTAAAAATTTACATTAAAAAAATTCACATAAAAAGGCACGAGAAACTTTCGAAGCAAATTTCTCGCGCATACTTGAATATTGTGGCGTCATGCCACTTGCTCACGAGATAATGGGGGAGAGGGGGGATAAGTAAAATAAATTTAAATAAATTTAGACGAAATTCGTATGTATACTACTTTTGACTCTCCCATTGTACAAATGAGACTATTTCGTATTGTGTGCATTCATATAATGTGAAAAAATCAAATAGAGGTGATCCATTTTCAACATACCTGCGGTGGGGAACTATCAAACTTAGCGGCAGATGGGCCGGAGTTCGTGTTTGACGATACACCACCACCCGCAACAGTCGCAAAATTCATGCCTTTTTGAGTTTCGTTTTCTCTTCCTCCCCACATTGACTGTTGCGTGACTTTAGTAAAAGTATCGTTAAACAGAGAATACTCTAGAGGCGTGCTGCTAGGTTGCTGCTGTTGCTGTTGTTGCTGCTGTTGCTGCTGCTGATGCTCCTGAGCCACAATCGGCGTAGTGCTGCGAATATTTTGTTGCGATTGCTGTTGCTGCATCGATTGTTGCTGTTGCTGCTGTTGTTGTGCCGTTGGTAGTGGTGGTGGCAATGTCTGCGTTTGCAACGCTACAATCGGTGGCGAAGGTGTCACTCGAACGGAACTGGCTGACGTCGAGACGATCGAATTTTCCGGACAGTTCGTCGTCACCACGGCGTTTGTGGCTGATGACGACGAAATCGCAATCGTTCCTGGGGGGTAACTCGACTTCCCGGAATAGTGAGATGCTATTGCCGACGGGGCGGACAAGGTGGGCAGTGATCGGCAGTGTTTCGGCGATGTACTGACTATGGACTGTTGTTGCTGGCTGGTTGTGTGAGCGGTTGCCGCAGACGTGGCCGACATAATAGTTACGGTCGTGGCGTGGGCCATGGGCTTCTGTTGCTTGTTTACCGGTGCGGTGTGACTGGACTGCATGACGGTAGTGGAACTATGAGTCGAGGCAGTGATCTCGGATAGCTTCGCCGCGAATGTCTGCGTCGTGCTGGTGGTGACAATCTTTGTCCCCGCTCTACCAGCGGTCATAATCGCACTCGTATACGACATCGTCGTCTTGGTGTTTGACGAGGACGCCATTTGAACTACGCCTTGCGCACGTTTCTCCGCTATATGTGCACACGTAAGTTTAATATTGATGTGATATTTAATACGATACAAAATTAAAGTACAATACGTATTGTAATACCCGTAATTTTTGCTTTCCTTGTTGACTACATTTCCAGATTTTTATAGACTGTTTTACAATTTGTACCCACTAACTACGTGTAACAATATTAAAAATTAGATTTCTAAAAAGGCTCAGTCAAAACGTTTCAACAATATTACATTCATTTTGATGTGAATTATATGTTATTTATTAGCAATAACGTCTTGTTTGCCCTTACCTGTACGCTTTTAATGCGCGCGCGCGTGTGCGTAACAATATTTCTTAATGAAAAATCGTAAAAAAGAAATGATTTGAAATCTTTCGATTAGTTTCTTATTTTTAAAAAAATAGCACTATGTAATTAATACTCTGAAATTTCATTCTGAGTAATTTTATATTTTTTTATACGTGATAACAGACACGAATATGAAAGAAAAATAAAATATTCGATATTACTTTCGTGAACAATTAAATTTTGCAAATTAAATTAATAACAATAAAAATAAACACATATAGTAACTGTTCGTTGTACAATAGTTGTTTTATATTACCTGCGGCCATGAGTCTAGGCGCTGTCGCACGTGGCAAAGAAGTAGGAAAAGCACCAGCAAGCTTCATGCTTGATGAGCGAATAGGAACCAAGGGATTAGTAGTAGACACACCTGAAGGATATCCTGATTTATTAATTTGGTTACTGATTGTACTGGATGCCAGATTAGATGATTTATTAACAGAACCACCAATTTTCGTTTTACTTGCCTGAAAGAAGATATTAGTTTATTAAATCGCTCTATATACAGCATAAAACTTATTATAGTTTTATTTCTTTTGCTTACAGCAACAGTGGAGACAGATTTGTCCCACGAAGAGGTTGTTACGACATTGAGTTTTGATTTCGGAAGCATCTGCAATATATCTACATCTGGATCCTTAATAAGTACTGATATCAATGTATGAGCTTGTTTTGTTGCTTCAGATGAGCCTCTACAAAATCAACAAAATGACAATTTAAAATACCAATATTTTCATCTAATATAATCAAGATATCTTCTTAAATCGTAGATAAGAACTTTTTAAAAATTCTCTTATTTGCTAGATTTAAGATATTTTGATTTAATTTCATATTTAATTTCATTTTTCCATAAAATTAGAGAAATATTTATGTGGAAAAAATAAAATGTCGACATTGTGGTGTTAAAACCTTTTTTTTTAGAAACGTTTTTAAATGACAAAAGCAATTTAAAATTTTTATCCTTAAGGCGATAGATTTGATTGGTATACATCTTTTTATATATAAAGTATACAAACTTTATATATTAAAGGATATATACAATATCTAATACTCACTTAATCGTAATGATCCTTTCCACTTGGCATTTACTTTGCTTTTCTACTTCAATGTGCGCACCCGTTGCAACACGAATAGCATTTATATTACTGCCACCTCTACCTATCACTCGGCTGATAGCATTTGGGGGAACGGATACTTTCTTAGAACGGAACGGTGAATTCATAAATCTGCCTGAATCATCCGATTGTCCCCTACAAATCACAATTATGTTGCATGATTCTATTTGTAAAAGATAATATTAAACTATCAAAATAAAGGAAGAAAAATATTTTGAAAAAATGTCTAAACTTTCAATGTCTTTAAATATACGTATCTTACTTTCGTACAACTTCTTTCCATCCTTCTTCGCGTTTTCCACTTTGCTTAGGGCTAGTGTTGTTCGCCTTCGTCGATGTATTTAGAGCATCTCCATCGTACTGATTATTATAAGACTTTTTTCCTTTGCCAGGAATATAAGTCTCGTTACCAGTTGCTTCAAAATCTTCTCTATCAGCGGGATGCCTGGAGGACTCAAAAACCAATTGTCCTTTCAGCTTTCGATCGGAACTGATGGTGGTGGATGTTCTAGTGGTTGTGACCGAAGTTGTAGATACAGACATTGCGCTGGTAACGTTATTTATAATTCGCCTGTGGAAATCACATTATTGGCATGTAAAATAATATCAAAGATAATCGATATTTCAATATTTGGTTACATATGATATACCATATATCTACTCTATTATTGTGTAAACACATAATTATTGTGTAAAATATAATTATTGTGTAAAAATCATGCTGTTTTAAAGTAAAGAATAATTCGTCTTATGAAACATTGAATCTTTCTCTTCTCAAAAAAATATAATTATTTAAAAAATAAAACAAGAGTAACAATTTTTTTTCGAGCTAGTTCTATTCTTACATACCTCCAAATATATTAAACATATAATACTAAGATTTTATTCGGATCGACAGGAAATTAAAATACTAAGTATAAGCATATTCGGGCCTATGACAGTCAAAGCTAGATCTTTTTGCCTAAATAATTCCCAGTGAATTATCTATATCCTATATATGTACATGCATATATATCATATTTTTGTAGTTATTCAAACTGCGCGCCGAAATTTTTTCGGACTTTATCTAACGCAATTAAACTACTGCAATAATATCACAAGTTCAAGTCCCGGCCGAGGTACCAGCCTCGGTGGTCTAATGGCTTAGGACGTTCCTACGGAATACAAGAGATCTGGGTTCAAGTCCCGGCCGAGGTAATATTTTTCGCAATAAATTTATTTAAGATTTTCAGCACATTGTCAATTTAATTTAACTTGTGATATTATTGCAGTAGTTTAATTGCGTTAGATAAAGTCCGGAAAAATTTCGGCGCATAGTTTGAATAACTACAAAAATATGATATATATATATATATGCATGTGTACATATATAGGATATAAATAATTCACTGTGAATTATTTAGGCAAAAAGATCTAACTTTGACCGTCATAGGCCCGAAAAAAAAAATGCTTATACTTAGTATTTTAAATATATAAATTTAAAAGGATTATATCTTTTTAACTCTCTCTCTCTCTCTCTCTCTCTCTCTCTCTCTCTCTCTCTCCTCTCCCCCCTCCTCTCTCCCTCTCTCTCTATCGTGGTGTCTACGCCTATACTTCACAATATTTACCAACGTTTAACATTATCTGTACGCTAAATGTATCTAGTACCGAGACGTCGAATTATCTTTTTCCCTTATTACTTAAATAACTTTGAGTATTCTTACTTTTCCAAAGTGTTATTCTGGGATTTTGTCGACGTCGCTATATTTTGAGATAAATTGGTGTTTTGTGAAAGAAGGGTCTTGGACGAACGCTGTGGGGACGTATCCTTATCGTTGTTATTAGGACTATTATTCTTCTTTTTTTTCTTTTCTTTCTTTTTCTCTCTCGCTTTTACATCATTGCTACTACAGCTTCCTTGACTATTTGCATCTATTCCACTGTCACCCTCTTCTCTATCAGGATCTTCCGGGCTTCTGTTTACAGGAGACGGCACGCTCTCCATTCTCTCGTCGCCGCCCTCATGCTCGCTGTCATCCGCTCGATCACATTCTTCGTCTGATTTCTTTCCACTTTCTTCCTTATCCTCAAAAGCTGTCTCGTTCTTCTTGTACTCTTCATGAAGTTTACGTTTCTCCTCCTTCTTCTCGAGCTTCTTCTTTTTCTTTCTCTCTCGTCTACGCGCAGCAGCCGCTTTCTTCGACTCCTCTCTATTTTTTTCCATGTCGAGTTCTTCCAACAATATACTTGCATTCTTATTTGCTTTAGCGGCCTGCGTCTCTTTGGCAGCTCTTATAACTTTCACGCATTCATGACATTTTTCCAAAAGTTCCTTATCGCTAACTGTAGCTATGTATCTCGTCATTTCTTGATCGCTTGGGAATTGCGTTACATGATTCACCATCCATTTGACCACTTTAATATGACCTTTTCGGAATGCGGCCATTAGGCAGGAAACCTAATCGTTATAGAATATATTTTACGTACATATTTTATTTCTAATATCAGAAAAAAACACAAGATCTGTTCTTTTTCCACTCCAAGTTCTGAACTGACGTACATTGGTCATACAATAAATCAGAGTGAGATAGCTATAGTTTGTTTCACTCTAACTTATTGTACTAGTTCAGAATTCTTCAAAAAAGAACATATTCTACTATTACGCAAGCCTCTCGTCGAAGAACACATTGTAGTGCGTACCTTACGATTATCTTGTGAATCAATATCGGCACCTGCATGAAACAGCAAATCCACAACATTAAGATGCCCTCCATTTGCAGCTAACCATAGTGGACTGTTCCCTTTTTTATTTTTTACCTCAACTTGGGTTCCCCTGGGAAAAAAAACAAACTCTCCATTTGGACTGTTATTTCATAATGCGACACATGAGATACAAGGACACATTACCTCGATAATAAGAGTTCTACGAAACGGCAGTGTCCTTTATCAGCAGCAATTGTGAGGGCAGTATCACGAGATGACGGTACAGGCGTAGCATTAACATCTGCACCTTTAGTAAGTAACACACGCCCGACTTCGACGTATCCACCACTAGCGGCCTCCATTAATGGCGTTAAACCCGTCTTTAAGAAAAAAACAAAAAAAAGTTATTATTTTGCACAATACAAAAATTACATTCACTACTTAAACATTAGATATGTTACTTTAGCTCGATGTTCAACATTGGCTTTTCGGTCGAGAAGAAGACTAACAACCTCGTGTCTTCCTTGGAAGCATGCGAGCGTCAATGCTGTGTTACGGTTCGTCTCAATTTGCGCGTTAATATCACTCCCCATATCCAATAGTAATTTAACTGCCGCTGTACATTAAAATGTCATATATATTTCTTTTAGTGTTTTAGTCATGATGAAAGGTTCTTTACGTCTGACAAATTGGAATTCGTTATTGGCAAGTACTATTTATGAATAAGCAATTTCAAATTTTCTTACCGGTATGACCATTCATAGCTGCTAACATTAGCGGAGATATGCCTAATTTCGAACCAGTTCGTGAATTAATTTCGGCACCATGGCTCAGTAGAAGCTTTATTATGTTCACATAACCACCGGATGCAGCCAAACTCAAGGGGGTATAATCAGAAACGTTGCGATGTTCTTTGTTTGCGCCGCGGTTGAGTAGAAGCTCAACTACTTCGTATCTACCTCCGCTGCATGCGAGAGACAGTGGTGTATCCTTGGTACGTTCAGATTGTGCTTCTATGTCAGCTCCATGATTAAGTAGAATTTCGACTACTTTTTGATGACCAGCTGTTGCGGCCAAAATAAGCGGCGTAAATCCCTTCTTGTCTCTATGTTCTATAAGAAAATGGAGCATGTCAGCTTGTTCGTTATCAGTTTGATAAAAGTTTCTATATATTTCATAATGCAGGCGACAAATATTTCTTATATATTAAATATACTAGAAAATTTGATATATTAAATTCAGTCACGTAACGATGTACATTTCACTCACCTATATCTGCACCGCGACTCAGAAGAAGTTCTACAAGATCTTCATGCCCTCCCGCACAAGCCAAAGTCAGCGCAGTATCGTGATTGCTGTCAGTTTCTGAATCGACATCTATACACGAAAACGGAGCGGGTGGAACTTGGTTAGACGCGTATCCACCGACCGTTGGGATACCTATTTTGTACATTGGTCAATAACTAAACAGTGAGGACACTCTTGGCAATTTACTTTGAGCATCATCGCGTGGTATTATCAGCGCGATTACAACGCAAATCGCAGTGTCGCACAATTCTCACCTGTCGCTGGATCTAGCTGATAGTTTTGCGCAGGAAAATTAGGAGTTTGTTGAGCATTGGCAGTTTGTTGTTGCTGGCAAGACTGTTGCTGAGACAGGAGAGGGTATCTGGCCTTCTTGCCCTTGCCGGTTGTTGGTGCGGTATACACTTGTTTCTTGTCGGAGGTAGCAACGTTCGCGGTTGTTGTAGTAGCGGGTGCTTGAGTCTGGGTAGCAACTTGAACTTGATTAGTGCTGCAAGTTGTGGATTGCACATAATTACTCGATTGATGTGGAGGTATACTATCTATTATCCCTGGTGCGCCACTCACAGCTGGTAATGTTTGTGTAGGAAATGCTAGTACGAAAGTAAATGAAAAATTATTCACTATTGCAAGAAATTCAGTGACATTATAGATGTGCTAATGATGAACGTTTGACAACTTACTTATTTGAGAGGACTGAAGCAACAATTGAGGTTGAAAAGTATCGCTGCTAATATGTTGCATACATTCGCGAAAATGTATGCTACCTTGGCGGAAGCCTTCTTCGAAAGCCCTCAGACGATTCTTCAGCGTCGGATTTTGCAAGGATTGCGTGCTTGTTAGTTGTAAACCCGCTGATATGTCTGCCTCTATTTGAACACCAGCGCTGGTCACTTGTAGTGACGGTAAGGCCGGTAAAGAAACCGAAGGTACTGACAACACAGGAGTGAAATATTCTTGGGATGCGTGAGGACTTCCGCTTTGCTGAACTATTTGTGTAGTATGCAAATGTTGCTGTTGTTGCTGTTCCTTGTTATTCGATACATCCAATCTTTTTAACTCAAGCTTCTCTTGATCTTCTGTTGCTATATCGAAATGGAATAATGGGAAAGGTTAAATTATTTTCACTATATTTTTTCCTCCTTAAACTTCAAAAAAATATTTACTATCAACTGGATCGTCGAAACTGATGGAACGAAAAATTTCAAACGCATCATCGATAGGAATATCCGTGCCATCCTCTAATTTCAATACTCTCTCGTTAGGGGAGAAAGTTTTAGATTTCTGAGCGCCAGTAAAAAACGCGCACGCGCTTTCTCTGTATTTTCGCGTCAACTCAGGATCCGTTTGCTCAGGAAGATTTTCTTGTGCCGTTTGCTATTAAAAATGTGTTTTTTTTTTAAATATGTGTTTCAATACAAAAATAACCGTTAAATAATCATTTAACAATATAATTACCTGATTGTGCAAATGATGATGCGTAGGATGTAAGTGTGACATCAATTGAGTGGGCATAAGTATGCTACCAGTGCTATTAGCAACTATATTGGTTTGCTGTGAATGCGTTTGTTGGTGAGATTGTTGCTGCGGCGGTTGCGATTGTGGCTGCTGCGATTGTTGTAT